TGTTGTATTTGCGATTTTGGTTCATTTGATAGAATGGAAGACATATTACAGAAATAGAGATGGTTTTGATTGGTTTTTGCACTGGAAATGGCTTGAAACTGAGCTCAAAGTAGCAGAAATGTTAAATTTTTGCCGATATTCAAGAGTAAACAAACGACCTCACACATCTAATACACGTCAGCGGGTGGGTCTAATATACATTCACAAATATGGTGATGATATTTATACAATTATTATAATATTGCATAACAGTAAATCTTATATTTTTTGGTGTGAATAAAAATTCATTATGTGAATAAAAAATCAAAATGGAATTTATTTGAAAAAGCCTCAAAACATAACTAATGAACAGAGGAAATGTTAGTTTAGTGCCAGGAATGCCTACATTGTTCATTCTGGACCCTATTTTGAAATTGGAATATTTTGAACTTTGTGTTAAATTGGCCAAATTAACAATTTCCGATCACTTTATTTTGTAGTTGAAACAGTTGACTTGGCGATTTCTTGTGCTCAATCGATAGAATAGAAGTAATACTAGTGAAATAGCTAAGAATTTGGTTGATTGGAATAATGTAATTGGCCTAAAATGGGAGTCAAAGTCGGCAAAATCGCCGATTCGTAAATATCGCTGAGACATCAAAATACGCGAGAGCATAATTTCGTCAATTTTCCACCAAATTTCGTACTTTTTGTTTTATTACCTTCACAAAAAGATTCTCTACGATTTCATAAGAAAAATAAAAAAATTTTTTTTTGAAAATTCTTGGACACTGGTGCGTGACTCCAGATTTGGGCCTTGGACCCTGAAAGGGTTAATTTCCATACTAATTCTCACCCTTTTTTCCACAGGGTTGGCACTAGAAGCTTTCTTGGGGCCCATGGTGACTTATTTTGCAGAAACAAGCACCAAAAACAGGGATAATATGGAATGTACCGAATGTATCCTTAGATGCGCGCACACTGGCTGGCTTGTAAACACTGGCACACATGGGGCAGTTCAAGCCACACGTGGACACGTCTCGTATGAATCGTATCGCATACCTGGTTTTGTAACGGGAACCAAGGCAAATTTTTTGCGATATAAGGAGGGCCTCGGGCAATTTCCGCACGAGCTCAACCAAAAATTGAAAAATTATGGAAGTTGAGTTATATATACCGAAAAATAGCTTAACTCTTTGGCAACACAATGATACCAGAATGAATGTTCTATGACGTTTCTACAAGAAATTATAGTCATTTATATCAGGTAAGGTGACAGTGATATGGGGAACACGTCTGCTCACAGCCCATATATATTTTGGAATTTTTTCCTTGTTTTTTATCGCTTTTTCTTGCATTATTCTTTCTAATACAGTAACTGACTATTTGGCATCATAAAACAGAAGGCGGAGATTATCCGTAGACTTTGAGCCTACCAGGCCTGCCACCGCTCCAGAGAGTGCCAGGAGAAATCGCTTCATTATTACACTTATATCAGCTTATATATCAACTCTATGGCTTATTTATCTATCAGAATTGATCTAATATGATATAATAAACACTCTAAATAACATACAAACATGTTATATACTCTAGACTGAATAAAATAGGCCATAATATGGCGAGAATCCACCAGTAATATTCGATATAAAATTGTTACCCCTCGACTTCTTGTTGTATGACTTGGCCTTCAGTGATAGAAAACGGTGTTTTGAAGAGGATAACTGCACTAGAACATCAGTTTACTAAGAAATACACCCAAACAAACGCGATTTTCGCGAGTTTTTTTTTTTTTTTGAGACGGTGGGCCGGCTGGTGCTCCCGGCCAATATCTCGGAAGTAACTTATTCACCTAAGGAACCTATTTCTGTCTTTATTACTTAATTAAATGGAATAATATTCACAGAAATTGTAGAATAATGATTTCTCTAATTTTCTACAAGCAATTTTTGGAAATATTCCAAATACTTTGGGAGTTATATGGGAGTAAAGGACAGATTTTTTGCAACATTCCAAGAACTAACAAACTTTATTTTTTTGTAAAATAAAGATAAGTTATTTAGAGGCCAGCCATGTAGAAAATTCGTATAAGCACTGTTCTCTCGGCACCAAGTGTCCAAACAACCTTACATCGTCCCATATAGGAATAAATCGCACCCCAAGGGCATTTTCAGTAAATCAGTCATTTTTCAGTCTTTTCTCAGTTGTTGTTTGAGGTATATTTTTGATAAATATTTTCAAGAAAGAGTGAAAACACTTTGTCTTGTGCACCAAAACTGGAGGAAATCGGACGGTAAACAAAAGAGCTACAATTCTTTGCCCGAGGGCCCTGCTTCGGATACCGGATTTATCGGACCGATGACTTTGCGAACCGGGGGTCCACTGTATATATATATATATATATATCTTCTTTCTTTCTTTCTACGCACCGGTCGTATCCCACCGAGGTGGGGTGGCCGAAAAGGAAAAACGAAAGTTTCTTCTTTTACAATTAGTAATATATACAGAAGATGATGTTACTAGCCCCTTGCTCCCGGCATTTTAGTCGCCTCTTACAACACGCATGGTTTACGGAGGAAGAATTCTGTTCCACTTCCCCATGGAGGTAAGAGGAAATAAACAGAAACACGAACTTTAAAGAAAATAGAAGAAAACCCAGAGGGGTGTGTATATATATGCTTGTACATGTATGTATAGTGTGACCTAAGTATTAGTAGAAGTAGCAAGACGTACCTGAAATCTTGCATATTTATAAGACACCTGAAATCGAAAGAATTACAGGCTTCTTTTTTTACACTCAGTATTACAGTAGTACCTCCCTAGGTGCGTGCTGTCTACCAGCATACTACCTTGGATTACTTTAATTTTTTTTTTTTATAACACGTCGGCCATTTCCCACTGAGGCAGGGTGACCCAAAAAGAAAGAAAAATGTTTCATCATCATTCAACACTCACCTTTACACATGCATAATCACTGTCTTTGCAGAGGCATTCAGTTATGACAGTTTAGATGTCCCTCCGAATTGCCAATATCCCAAATGCCTCCTTTAAAGTGCAGTCATTGTACTTCCCATTTCCAGGGCTCAAGTCCGGCTAACCGGTTTCCCTGAATCCCTTCACAAAATATTACCAGCTTACAATCCAGCAGCTTGTCAGGTCCCCAAAACCATTCGCCTCCATTCACTCCTGTCTAACACATTCACGCACACTTGCAGGAAGTCCAAGCCCCTCACCCGCAAAACCTCCTTGATCTCCTCCCTTCAACCTTTTCGAGGGCAACCCCTACCCTGTCTTCCTTCCTGTACAGATTTATATGCTCTCCAAGTTATTTTACTTTGTTCCATTCTCTAAGTGACCAAACTACCTCAACAATCCCTCCTCAGCCCTCTGACTTTTAGTAACAACACACCACCTCTTCCTAATTTCCACACTACGAATTCTCTGCATAATATTTACATCACACATTGCCCTTAGACACGACATCTACACTGCCTCCAGCCTCCTTGCTGCAGCATTTACAACCCAAGCTTCACACCCATATAAGAGTGTTGGCACCACTATACTCTCATACATTCCCTTCTTTGTCTCTGTAGATAATGTTTTTTTGTCTCCACAGATACCTCAACACACCACTCACCTTTTTTCCTTCATCATTTCTATGGCTAACCTCATCTTTCATAAACCCATCCACTGACAAGTCATCTCCCAAATATCTGAAAATATTCACTTCTTCCATACTCCCTCTAATGTGATATTCAATTTTTCTTTATTTAAATCACTTGATACCCTCGTCACCTTACTCTTATTTATGTTCACTTTCATCTTTCTACCTTTACACACCCTCCAAAACTCATCCACTTATCTTTGCAACTTTTCTTTAGAATCTTCCAAAAGCACAGTTCTCAGTTTATCCCCCGGGCATTTTTCTTTTACAACCCCATCATAAATATATTAAAAACCATGGTGACATTACACACCCTTTTAAAAAACCCTACTTTTACTGGAAAGAAATTTTCCCTCTGCTACCCCCCTTAAAACCAAAAGCCTCATTTCCCTCATAAAAATCTTTAAAACTTTAGTAACTTACTACCGTTCCATGCACTTGCAACATCTGCCCATTGCTCCCCATCTCCCTTTTTTAAAACCCATAAATGCAATAAAAAATTTCCCCTCCCTTTAATTAAATATGTTCACACATATATGTTCATTGTAAACCTGATCTAACATCCCTACCCATTCAAAACCCTTGCTCATCTTCAATCCTCCTCTGTCTTAGCTCTTTTTTTAAAAAAAAACCCCCCCATCACCTTACAGGGTATACTAAGTACACTTTTTTCCCTTGTTTTTTTTACAATCTCATCCCCTTCCCTGCGAAAGGAACTATACTGCTTCTCCCAACGATAGGTCCCCTTCCCCCTTATTATACATTTTTTAAAAAAAAAATAAAACAACTCCAAAACTATATCCCCACCCCCTTTGTTTTAGCATTCTGTTATATCCCGTCTTTCCATCTGCTGTACCCCCTTTCTTTTTATTTAAAATGCCCATGCCCTCTCCCCACTTATATCTTGCTCTTCTCACTCCTAAAAATGTTGTTCCTCCGGCCATTGCATAAAATTCTGCCTCTTTCTTCATGACATTTAAAATTTCCCTCAAAATTTTCCCTCCCGTCTACCCAAAAACCTCCAGCCCCATTTCTAACTCCTGTACCTGTTTTTAAGGCAATCCTTATTCCCTGGCTTTCTTAACTGTTTTTCCCCCAAAAAAAAATTTTTTTTTTTTTTCCACCCCAAAATTTGGAAGACCTCCCCCATTTTATATTTACCCCCTTTTTGCACCTCTTACCCTCTCTTCCCCTTTTCTTTTACTTTGTAACTCTGCCCTTTTATAAATTATGCTTTGTAAAAACCCTTCAAAGTCCTTATCATTTTCTTTGTACTGAACAATTTTAAATTTTAAATGTTTTTAGGTAAAAGGTTTTTTGAAATGCACAATATTAGGATTCTTTTTTAAATTTTCAGCTTGTAAATTTAAGAGCAAAAATGAAACGCTACAGCAAAGTTTAAGGAAAAAGATGAAAAAGCAAGACACATGGTGGGGTTAGCAAAAAGAAAGGAGAAATTTTAGCCTGTCACGTTTTTTAACACTATCGAATGTTAAAATTATTGTAGTGGTTTTTAACTTTTAGATTTTAATCAAAGATTAAAATAATGTTAATTTTCTTCGTTGAATTCAAAGTTGATTGACTGTTTCATTGGCATGTCCTAGATGTAGCTGTTTTTTTTTTTTTAATGCACCAACCATCTTCCACTGAGGCAGGATGACCTGAAAAAGAAGAAACAAAAGATTCTTTTTACATTTATTTATACAGAAGGGGAGAAGGGGTTACTAGCCCCCTTGCTCCTGGTGTTTGTCACTTCTTACATGCATGGCTTACATAGGAAGGATTCTTCTCCACTTTACAGTGAAGATAATAGGAAATAAATAAGAACAAGAATTATTAAGAAAATAGAAGAAAACTCAGATGGGTGTGTATAGATATATGTGCATATGCATGTGGAGTGTGTCCTAAGTGTAAGTAGAAGTAGCAAGATGTACCTGTTACCTTGTGTGTTTATGAGGCAAAAAGAAGAGGCCCCAGCAATCCTACCATTGTATAATGCAGTTAAAGGTTTCCATTTCATACTCATTTGACAGGTTGGTAGTACTTCCCAGGGTGGTTGCTGTGTACCAACGTTTTACCTATAATTAATATTGCTGCACTATAGAGAGAAATCTCTTTTCACTCTTTTGTTTATGGTGTTGTATTTTAATCAAACTTAATTTTATGGTGTGTTTGAAGTTAGGAAAAAATAAAACTTTTGGGAAACAGTGGCATATATGAAACCGACAGTGGCAGTTGTAAAAAAAAAATGAATGGGGGCCCTGATGACTGCAACCCTCATAAAACAGCATAATAAACATTATTAAAGTAAAAATTTTTTTAAAAATTAAACAAATTTAATAAGAAAAGGTTTCCATTATTTCTGGGTACACTACACCCGCGCCCCCTTGTGGGAGTTGATAGGTTCCAACCTGAAGCGTTAACACAAATATATTTTTTTAAATTGGTTTTTGAGACCTGACAAGCTCTTGGATGTGAGCAGGATAATATTTTGTGAAAAATGGTTAGCTGGGAAAAAGGGAAGCCCTTTAAAAGGGGGTTTTGGGGTATTGCAGTTTGGAGGGACTTCTAAACTGTTTTTATCTGGTGCCCCTGCTAAGACTTTATTATTTGTAGTGAGGTAAAAATGTTAAGATTAAGTAAGTAAGTAAGTAAGTTTATTTTAGGTATACACAAAACAGTTACATAGAAATTTTCATACATAGCGCTTGTGTAGAGAACCCCAGGATAACCAAAAATCAGACAGAGTGCTTATTTCCATTGGGGGCCTTTTACCTTTTATTTAATATAAAGGTTATAATATTTTCTTATTTTCTATAAAGAAAATAACATCTTTATTATCATACTAAAAAAATACTACTACACGAGGGGCATTAAGATATCTACAATACGAGGGTCATTACTAGGAAAAAGGTAAAATTTTCATGATGTTAGATAAAAAAAGAAAATCATTCCCTCCCTTTCTGTAGCTACATTCTCAGAAACCTTTTGGCACTCTTCTTGACTGGTTCAGCTAGATGGCTTTGACTGGCGGGTAGTCTGTTCCATTCCTTTTTTGCTGACAAAAAAAGGTGTTTTAAGCCGGCCTGTGGGGTACTACAAAGTTGTGCTCTTCCCCCTGTACTATGATTGCTTTGGTTCCCCAAACCCTTTACAAAATTGCAGCAAGATATTTGGACAGTTTGTGACAATTTTTAAACAGATTTAGCTTCAGTTGTTTTTTTCTTTTTCAACATTCAGTATCCCAAATGCTGTAATTCATCCCGGCCTTATGCTCTTGGTCCCGCCCCCGGGGTGAATCTTCGTTTTGTTTGGGGGTCTCAGTCATTTTCATTTTTTTTTTTCAAGGCAGAGTACCAAGAAGACAAGGTAATCCATTGGCATTGTTTTATAAGGGCTAGACGTAGGGTCCTGCAGCCTCAGTAGGTAGAACTTGTTGTCTATACGGAACTTCAGTCTGGCATTCGCTTTCTTTACTACACTGTTCCCTATCAATTCTCCTGACATGCATGGGTCAAAGGGGATTCCCAAAAAATTTTTCTGATAAACCAAAAGTGATGGGTCCCCATTTCATTGAACATTAAAGTTATTTACCCTTCTCAGTTTTGTTTCGTGCAAAGAGAATGGGTTTCATTTTTTCCCCAGGTGTAATGATAGTTTGTTGTCTACTAACCATTTGCTGCAGGACTCCAGTTCCAGTGTTAAACTTAGCAATATCTTGTGGGTCTTTTCCCGACATAACAGAGCATGTATCTGCATAAAGTAGGGGTTTGCACTTGACATGAGGGAGACGGCCCCCCACTTGTTGAAAAAACAAAGCGTTCACATATATGTAACCCTAGAGGTCGTCACAGTTCTCTTGTGGGACCCGGCTACTGAGGGATAAGTGCAGCTATTAGAATGTGTTATGCTATCAAAAAATTTAGCTCAAATCAGTCTGCCCTTTTTGTCTTGAAATTCCCCAAAAAGAAGCATGGAAAAAAAAATAAAGCATTTTTTTCTGGTAAAAAACTGATGCTAAAATGGCACGTAATTCTTTGCTCCGCTTGATTTTTTTTTGTAGAATGGGTAAAACGGGGGCAGTCATCCTTTTTCTTTTTCTTTACTTTTTCAATTAAAATCAACTGTGAAAAGTTAATATTTTTTTTTATTTTTAACACACTGGCCGCCCCCACCAAGGCAGGGGGCCCGAAAAAAAAAAACTTTTACCATCATTCACTCCACACTGTCTTGCGAGAAGGGTTTTTTTTTTTTTTTTTAAACCCCCAAAAAACCCCCCAATCAGGCATGACTTCCCCTCCCTCAAAAGGGGGCCCTGAAATCCCTTCCATAAAGTTACTTTTCCCCCACTCCAACGCACCAAGCATTAAAAACCATTTTCTCCATTCACTCCTATCAAAAACACTCACGCATGCCCGCTGGAAGTCCAAGCCCCTCGCCACGAAACCTCCTTTACCCCTCCCCCCAACCTTTCCTAGGCCGCCCCTACCCCGCCCTTTCCCTTTCCCCTACAGACTATCATCTTGAAATCATTCTGTTTTGCTCCATTCCTCTGCTGTCCCCAACCACCTCAAAAACCCTTCCTCGCCCCTTTGGGAAAAAGTTTTGGTAATCCCACACCCCCCTCCTAACTTCCAAACTACAAATTTTCTTTTGATTTATTCACACCACACATTGCCCTCGACTTAAAATCCCCAAACTGCTCCAGCCTTCTCCTCGCCCCTCAACATTCATCACCCATGCTTCACACCCATATAAGAGCTTTGGTTAAAACTATACTCTCATACTTTCCCCCATTTTGCCCCCCAAGGACAAAGTTCTTTGCCCTCACAACTCCTAAGTGCACCCCCTCACCCTTTTCCCCTCATCAATTCTATGATACACCTCATCTTTCATAGACCCATCCGCTGATACGTCCACTCCCAAATATCTGAATACATTCAACTGAGTTTGCTCTGGTTTCCACTGCTATTGTTTATCAAATGGTAATTAAATTTAATGCTATTGAAAATAATTTAAACGGCCACCAACCACGTGTTAAAACGTGCATACTTGCAACATAAACAGATTGATTTCAACTGGGTGTGTGCTACATCGAATGCAGCTCCTCTCTGCCAGATTTTAAACGCCAGAAATCCTAGGGTTTTTTGTACACATCAAACTTCTATTTTTAATCATTTTTTATCTTGTTTCAACAAAAAAAATAAAAAATTCGCTTATAAATACATTGAAAACAACATACAACAGATTTTTCCTGAAATATATTTGTCAGTTGTAAATTATTTTAGCATAAGGTTGATGAAGTCATATGTTCTGCAGTGAGCAACTGGGGATTGAGCTTCAGCTTCGTGGATGAGCTGCCAGTGTGCACCAATGATATTTATATTTTAAAAAAAATTTTTTTTCAACATTTTGGCTGTCTCCCTCCAAGGCAAGGTGACCCAATGAAGAAAGAAATGCTTTCACCATCATTCTCACATAATCATGTCCTTTCAAAAGCACCAGATAGAAAGTTTGTTCACTCCAACAGCCATTTTCCCAAACCCCCTTAACCTTTGAGGGGCCAGACCCTATTTTAAAACTTATCCACGGGGTCCCAAGAATTTTTCCAAAAAAATTTTATTTTACTTATGAAATTTTAAGGCTTGTCTAAAGGTTTAATAAACAAAAGTACAAAATTTTTGGAAATAATGAAATACAGTCTGAATTTTGTTTTCTTCATCAGCAAATTTTTAATTTACGCATCGGCAATTTTGCCACTTGACTCCTACTTTAGGCCAATTATGGTCTTCCAGTCGACCAAATTCTTAGCTATTTTGCTAGTATTGCTTCCATTTTATTGACTGAGTACAAGAAATCACAAAGTTAACTTTTTCAACTACCCAATAAACTGATTGGAAATCGGTAATAATTGGCCAATTTCACACAAAGTTCAAAATGTTCCAATTTGAAAATAGGGTCCAGAATAAACAATACAGGCATTCCTGTCACTAAAATAACATTTCCTTTGTTATTAGTTACATTTCCAGGCTTACAAATGAATTCCACTTTGATTTTTTATTCACATAATGAATTTTTATTCACACCAAAAAAATAGTAGATATACTGTTATGCAATGTTATAATAATTGTATAAATAATATCAACGCATTCATGAATGCACATTAGACCCACCAGCTAACGTGTATTGGACGCATGATGTCGTTTGTTTACCCTTGAAATCAAACATTTCTGCTACTTTGAGCTCCGTTTCAAGCCATTTTCTGTAATAAAACCAATCAAAAAATTCTTATTTCTGTAAAGTATCTTCCGTTCTATCAAATGAGACCAAGAAACCATGAATACAACTGTAAAAAACCTACTAAAATACACTACAAAGTGGCTGTTTTAATCAGAAAACATAGTCTCAGTTTTTTCTCATTACACACTGCATGATGCAGGATTTGTTTTAT